TGAGATTTATCAGTCTTAGAGTACAGGAATATTCAAGCTTTGACTAACACATAAATATTGGGAAAGAGGCAGCCTTTCGAAGTCATTTCAATGAGTCCCAGTGTTAGACACAGGCAAGAGTGCCAAACCATGCAAATGTGGGTGGCAAGCGATTCATTTTAGACAATTATGCTTAATCTGCAAAATTGTGTGATGTTTGCACTATATATTTGCTTAGAGTATTATTATTGTTTTTAGCCACTGCTTGGAGTACATTGTTAAAGTTATTTTTGATGAGGTCAGTTTGGTTTGTTGCAGGTAAATACCAGGACTTGCGAAACAGTTGTAGATGGTATTCAGTTGGGATTCTTGGGTTGTTTGAGTACCGTTTCTACTTTCATTGCCGAGTTCAATGCAATGAGAGGAAGTCATCGGCCTTGGAGAGCATATGCTTATGCCCTATCTACAATAGGTCTCTCATTTGTTTTTGGGGTTCTTTTCTACGATTTACCCGTTTGGTTAAAAGGCTACAAGTAAAACTTGATGCGCTTCAATGCCAGTCACTTTCTTTTGGATATGCTTCTAAGCAATGCGGAGAATGATGCAGAAACTTCAATTTATCAGGGAGAAAACCCAGCAAAGATTTATAAATTATTGGAGTCAATTCTAATTGTAAGATGCATATTTCTATTTAGCTTCTGATTCCTTTTTCTTGGAATCAAAGTCTGTCTTTTTAAAGAGTCGTTAGCATTAAACCATTAGGTTTCAGTTAATAAGATCGAAGCACATAATTGTTTCTTTGGAAATTGTAAATAAAAACCTTATTTTATCACACTACAGAAGTTATTGAGAATGAGAAAATATATCGGTTATGAAAGTAAGAAGGGAAGAGGTTCAAGGTTTTCGAAGAAATCTTGACAATAATCTTTATTTCAGATGCAATGAGAGAGATGAAGGCATCAAAATAGCGAGCAGCCCGTGGTTGGAATGGCATTGTTTTCCTATATTCTTCTCTTCGCAGAGGAGAAGAGAAAATTTCAGGATCCAGTAGCAGTTTCCTATTTTCTCCTTGTATTGAATCTTCTTCTCTTTGTAGAGGAGCCTTGCATTGAATTCAGAATCCAGTAGCAGTTAACAAACAAGGCCTCATTGCAGAAGCTTGTTCAATTTCAGTGAAGCTTAACAGCTGAACTTTCTGGTCTTATACTTGGGTGGATTGGGCTCATTAACGAGTTTAGGATGAGCCTTAGCAAGTTTGCATTTCGACACAAAATACAACAATATTTGAGCTTACCAGCTCCTAAAAAAATGCAACAAAATTGGGCTTATAGCCATTTGCGAAGAAACGAGAATTTGCCTCGAGAAAGACTGGAAAGGTTTCTGGATTCATTGAGTTTTTATTCTCTTTTACAGGCATCTATTGACATTAAAAAAATTGGAAAATTCATTTCATCATACAAACTTAGGATTTAGGATGTATGACTGCAGATGCACAGGAATGGATGTGAAAGACACTTAGCCACCGCAGCAGGAGCCACAAGCAGGCAAGGAATCTGACAATTTGCAACACAAAAGTGAATTGGGCTAAAGTATACAATGGTCCCCTATTGTATTAAGTTTAAAACTTTTAGTCCCTCTCCTTATATTATAAAGTTTTTAACTCTTAAACTTAAAGGTTTAAAGATTTTAGTCCTTGACTAATGGAATCCATAAATTCTCCATTAAGTAATTAAGAATAGGATAATTACAGGATTAGTCTTCAAAAATTAAAAATATAATAATTTAGTTTCAAAAGTTTAAAATTAAAAAAATTAGTAAATTAAAAATAATTAGTGAATGTATTTGACATGTATATAAGAACAATATTAGATATCTAAAATAAAATTGAGTGATTAGCTCAACCTAAAGAAAAAAATTTGACTGAGATTAAAGAAAATTTTTTAACTATATTCTTTTAGTCTCTTAGAATTTTTGTCTTGACTCAATTCAAAAAAATTTCTTTAATGCTAGTTAGAATTCTTTTTGTAAATTGAGCTAATCACTCGATTTATTATAGATATCTAATACTATTTTATTGTACGTAGAAAATTCATTTGTTATTTCCTTGTAATTTACTAATTT